TATTTTACCCAATAACGCAATAAACACGTGTTTTTTTCTTGAATAGCGTAAAACTGATCGTGAACTCCGATTTGCCCATGTTATATCGGGTGGAATTGATTTTGAAAGAATTTTAGCTTTCAAACTAAAGACTGCGTCTATCGTCAGAAAGTATTTACTTACAAAGAAAGAGGTGCTAATTTTACAAAATTGACTTGTATTGTTCAAAGCCGCTACCACATCACGTGACTATGTCTCTTGTTTACAAATTATTATCCACGACTGGCAGGTTGCGTGTCAGTCGGTACGTAAGTATAATAACAATATGACAATAGTCGGAAGCGTTTCCGCGGTGGTCGCTAATTTTGAGTGCCGGTCAGGCCGACCAGCGTGACGAGATCCCCCAATGAAAAGAAGCACTGTGGCGGTCTTGCTAATCACCGTGGCGGTGTCAGACCGGTGTGGCGGCAAATTGAAGCACTGTGGCGGGACCGCCACGCTGTTTACATCCTGGGGAGAACACTAAATTATTTAATTAAATACTGTATTTAATTATTTATTCAAATTAGCCCCTATATCCCTCTTGGTGTAAAACTATAAATACTGAATTTAACACTTGTGAATGATGGTGCCTGTATGGCGTAAAATTGTTATCTATATTAAAACTACCATCATGTTCGTTTAATTGTTTAAAAATATATATAGCTTTGTGACCTTAATGTGTTTAGTGTGTGAATTGTGTGTTTTTTCGAGTCTGTGTTGATTATATTATCACTTTTGCTGAAGATATTAAGTCTCTAGTATATATGCAGCCATTTACAAGTACTAATACTTACAGGGATTATTGCATGCAAATGCTGCAGTATACATTGTATTGTGTGTAACCTTTTTACCACCAGTTCCCTCTTTCCATCAGAAAATAGTCACAAAAATAGTAAAAACTGAAAATTGCCTGAAATTTTGTCTGATGACACTACAATTAGGGTTCATTTCCAGAAATATTGAAGAATATAAGAGAAAAGTGCAGGTAAATTTGGGTGAGAATGTCTGGTGGTAAAGAGGTTAAGAATTATCTTTGTAGTACGACAAAAGAATTTTAAGTCACAGGTGCCCCAATATGTCTTTTTGCAATAATAGTGTACCGGTAATACTGCAAAAGCAAAAAAACGAGAGAACTTTTCTATTTGAATATCGTTATTGTGATGTGCAATTTTTAAATCATTCATGGTATAATTTTGTGACTTATCACATAACAATGATCCCAAATGAAATATTTACTACTACAAAATTGTCTCTTACTCGTAAAGAATTGTTTTTTTTTTTCATGAAATCTAAGTGGTTTACATTTCCTGTTTAGGCCAAGAAAAAATGGCAATAGCTTTTGTTAAGTATTGAAATTAATTATTAATAAAGTCATTCACTTTGTATAAAAGAATACGTAAACAAAATCTAAAATTGCAGTAGGTGCCTTATATTTAACTGTTGTCTTATTAGCATATTTAAAGCGGTGCGCATACGGCAAACGGCCACATCGTGTTGTTCTTTGTTCGCAAACAAGTGTCTGCCCATGAGCCTTTGCGTTTTTAGCATGCTTTGTTATTGTCGCTTGGGACTCAACTCTTGTACGTGCGCAGGTGGCGACCCTTCGCTTTAACTGTGGCTCTGGTGAAGCAATATAGTAAATCGATGAAAAGCTTTAACGAAATAATCCACTTGGGGGGGGGGGGTCGAAATTAAATTGTAGTTACTGTCTGCGCACTCAGCTCACTTTTGATCTGTTTCATGCACTATGCCATGTTCTATAATTAAAAATGTACTTCTATGTTCTATTTTTAGTAATATGTCTCATGATCATGCTTTCACTATGATCAAAACTGAATTTTTTGTTCATTTTTTTTTTAAATTTCTGCTTAAAAATAACAAAGCTATGCCATGCATGTTTTAACTAACTTGTGTGTGACCGCCAGAAACAAAGATATTGTTTTGTTTTTTTCTCTGTCTTATCAACATTGCACACATTGAGTCTATTTTGAATTTCATTGATGTTTTTGATGTCAAAAATTTCAAAACTAACAGAAGTGTTTGACTTTTGTACATTCACTATACTTTCTAAGTCTTTATACTGTTAAATATTGTGACTTCTCCGGTTGTTGAAAAGTAAACAAAGTTGACTATGACAAATATGGAAACACTGACATCCTTCCCCAAAAAATGTGAATTAGGTGTCTTATACATTAGTGTAAAATGATTACATGTACTGAAAAATTCTTTATTTCAGCTGCAATTAATTTTCGCTGAAAATGCTTTTTGAGTGTTTTGTATGGAATTTATTTTCACTGATTTTTGATGAGTTGAATGTAAAATAATAACTGGATTATATTTTCACTGAATCATACCTTCAGCGAATATAGCGAAATATTAATTCCATTGAAGTGAAAATAAAGTATTTTACAGTACATCTGTTTGTTCCTTGTACTCATAGTTTTCACTGATTTAAGACATACCAAAAACACTAAAGGAATGTATTAGTGTAGTGAGTCATGATGAGAAAATAAACAAAAATTGGCTATGCATATATATTGGTATATTCTGTCTTTATAATCTTATACTCAAATGGGAGTTTTACTTTAATATAAGGTGTCTGGGAAGCGAAGTAGTTCCAAATGCGGTGTATAGCTTCATTGATAAAATCTTTATACTTAAGAGAGTGATTTAAAAAAATCCTGCAAAAATTGAGAACAACATTCAAATTATATGTATTGCACATATGTATGTTTTGTGGGTGTTGACAAAAGTAGAATTGCTGACATGTCTCAAATTTTACCATGCGGCCCATTAAACCTTTGTGATGAATTCTCCACCATATTTGATGTGTTTCATACCGGAGTACTTGTGTTAATATTCAAATCCTCGTGTTTATTACTGGATTTGTCGATTACATTGTTACTGGATTGTCTATTGAAATATAAACTTCCGTCTGATTTGATTCCACATACGCAAACATATGGATGGCACAAAGATTGTTGGGTGATTTGCTTTTACCCGGTAAGCTCTATACGAATCACAACTGAAGCTTGTTGCAGTTTTTTGTCCTAGTTTGTTTCCATGTGTTGATAGAATTTTGTCATAAAAATGATTGTTTTATCAACCTTTCTGCTTCGGTTCTTAAAATGTCATTATTTTTACCTAAATATTTGTGCAAGTATTTGCTAATTGTTATTCTCTATTTAGACGACGTCTGAAAATAGGAATTTATGAATTGACCTGTGTGTGTGTGTGTGTGTGTGTGTGTGTGTGTGTGTGTGTGTGTGTGTGTGTGTGTGTGTGTGTGTGTGTGTATGTGCTTCCGTACATGCCTGGACCAAACTTATACACTGTACCTTTAAATCTTTCATGATCAGATTAAAGATGGCTGAATGACAGCCATTCAGTGGTAAAAATTCATTAAAATCAAGCATTTATGTCATTCTGAAACCAGATCTCGGTTGTGGATGGATAGATTTATTTCAGACTTTATACAATCGTCCACATATCATTTTGTTTTCACAAATCAGATTTACAGATCAGATCAAAATGGCCGATTTGCGGCCATCATACATGTATTTCAAAAAATGTTGAACCAGAGCCATGAATTGTTTTACATTCTTCTGTAGTTTCATTGTTAATTTAAACCAAATTAATTGATCAAAATTTCTGAAAAAAAAAGGTTTATTTTGTGAAATGTCTCAAAAGTTGACAAAAATAAAAATATTTATCATTAATATTGGAATAATAAATCCCACTATTCGTGATGACAATGACATTTTGAATGCTTAAATTAAGCCCCTCCAAAATGTTGCAACAATTTTCACCATATTATTTGGTATTTTTATTTGTTGGTCAATCTTATAAAAAAAAAATGTGCTGGTTTGATTTGTGGAAGGTGACAAAAGTTTATCCTGAAATTATTTTGCTCTTTAGTGTCATGGTGTCGTCACATGTACATAAATACATGTTCACACTGATGAAAATAACAAATTTTAATTTAACAAATCGCCAAATTAAGTATAAATAATATTGGGTGCAAACCGAGTATTTAACCTTTTCATCACCAGACTTCCTTGCCCAAATTTGTCTCCACTTTTTGACTCTCGTGTGCGAAGCACATAATGGGAGTCTTTGCAGTTACCCTGTCTGTATGTGTATGTGTATGTGTGTGTCCGTCTGTTCCACTGATATCTCAAGAGCCATACATCGGTTTTTGATGAAACTTGGTGCATAGATGCTCTGGGCCAATGCACAGATTTTATTAGGTTTTGGTAGAAATCCATGCATATTAATTACCTAATTTGCATGATAATTAGCTCATTTTTAGCTGTCTCATGACTGTTCCACTGATACATTATCTGAAGAACCACTCATTGGATTTTGATGAAACTTGGTTCATAGATGAGCTGAACTAATGCCAGGTTTTGATTAGTTTTGGGTGAAAATCTGTGCATATTAATTACCTAATTTGCATAGTGATTAGTAATTTTCGGCTTTTCCACGGATATCTCAACTACTAATCATCACATTTCAATGAAACTTGGTACCTAGATGTCATATGCACAAACCTAGTAGTTTTTAGGGTAATATCAGTACATATTACATTGTAATTACCTAATTTGCATAATAAATTAATTTTCAGCTTTTGATATTTCAAGTAGTAAGCATTACATTTCAATGAAACATGGTACATAGATACTCAAGGACTATGCAGAGATCAATTGTTTTGGGATAAATATTTGTGCATATTAATCACTTAATTTGCATAATTAGTTAATTTTTCAATTTTCACGTATATCTCAAGTACCAATCATCACATTTCAATGAAATTTGGTACATAGATCCTCCAGGACTATGCAGAGATCTGATTAGTTTTGGGATAAATAATTGTGATTATAAATTAACTTATTTGCATAATTATTTAATTTTCAGCTTTTTCACTGATATCTTGAGTACTAATCATCACCTTTAAATGAAAGTTTGTACATAGATGCTCTAGGACAATGTACAAATATGATCAGTTTTTGGGTTAAAATCTGTTCATATAAATTCCCTAATTAGCATAATAATAATTCATAACTGTTTGGTTCTGATCACATTTCATTGAAACTTGGTACAAAGATGGTCTGCTACATTGCGCAGACCTTATTAGTTTTACACTCTGTTCATTTTAATTTTCTGATTTGCATAATTGGTTTTCAGCTTTTCCCTCAATATCTTCAGTACAAGTAATTTTGAATTAATTTTTACTGTGTCTATAATACTCTCAGCACATGGGAGTTCTTTCTAAGCTTTCTTTAATTTCTTATATTCTTTAATATTTCTGGAAATGAACCTTAATTTTGGAGCCAACAAACAAAATTTGAGTCAATGTTTTTACTCAAAAAATTTGGCTATTTTTGTCCTATTTTTAGGACCATTTTGTGAATTTGTGATGAAAAGAGGGAACTGGTGGTGAAAAGGTTAAAGCTGAACGTCATATCCATGTAGAGGGACTTCGTCTAGTGTTTACAAAACTTAACGCCCAACCAGCAGCACACTTGCCAGTCACTGCGTAATTATAATAACAATGGGACAATAGTCCTGGCTGACCAGCGTGACAAGATCCCTGAACGTGCATGCTAAAAAACCTAGATATGGTAACAGAATGAGTATGCTGAAAGAACCAATACACTGACAGTGATGCCAGAAGAAATGGGAGAAATGTAAAAAAAAATATTTTAAACCACACATGTGTTAAAATGCATATTACCATAAACTGAGCAACGATACAATGGTTACCGTAGTAGCATGTTCGCCTTGTATCAAAGAGGATGTGGGTTTGATTTCCGGAGCAGAGTGTTTTGATACTCAACAGTATAAATCTAAATCCGTGGTTTTTGGTTTGCATTTGCAATCTGCACCAGAAACAAAAAAAAACATCTTCAGTAGGGACAGCAGTGACTTCCGCGTACATAAATGTTGCCTGGCACAAAAAAATGAACAAAATACAATGCAGAAAGTATACTTGTACATGTATTCAGGTACAGGATTTGGTTGTTATTGTCTGTGTGTGGGACATACTGGACTCTTGAAGTTGTACACAAATTTGGGAAGTAATATATCCTGTTTTAGTAATGGAATATGCATTGGTTTTACCTTGTTACTTTTAATATTAATGTTTATGTCAAATATTTTCATTTCAGACGATGATGATGATGTACTTTCATTTCAGTACAAAAGTAACTATTCTATTCAAAGAATGGACTATAGATGGCAGTGTTGGCGGTAAGTAAACATACACCAACTATAGCTGAGATCTACACCCTATATTGATACCTTGAGTCATTGGAAATACAATAAAAAGTACAATGCAACAGAGGGGATGTTGTTTCTATTAGAGCATCTACACATGTGACAAATATTGAATTTTTGGCTATGAATTCTAAAATATTGACTGTGGCTTCTATTTGAGATACTGCTTCTAAAGAGTATTTTCTTATACTGTAAATCAATTGTTTGTTTTTTTCATAATAATGTAGGCTGTTATCTTTTTTTTTTATTTTCGTAATAATGTAATTTAAATAAATTTTATTTCCTGTAAAAACATAAAATGCCCTTTTTGACTCCCGTGTGCGAAGCACAAAAAGGGAGTCTTTGCAGTTAGTGTGTCTGTATGTATGTGTGTGTGTGTGTGTGTATGTGTGTGTGTGTGTGTGTGTGTGTCCGTCTGTTCCACTGATATCTCAAGAATCATACATCAGTTTTTGATGAAACTTGATGCATAGATGCTCTGGGCCAATGCGCAGATTTGATTAGGTTTTGGTAAAAATCTAATTTGCATGATAATTAGCTGATTTTTAGCTGTTCCACTGATATCTAAAGAACCACTCATTGGATTTTGATGAAACACAGATGCTCCAAACTAATGCGCAGATTTGATTAGTTTTGGGTAAAAATCTGTGCAATATTAATTACCTAATTTGCATAATGATTAATAAATTTTCGGCTTTTCCACTGATATCTCAAGTACAGTACTCATTTCGCCGAACCTCCCGCCCGCTTCCGGATTTCGATCGCTTTTTTTTCGCTCACTTTGTTCAATTCGACCGCGCAATTTCCGCTTTTTTTTCGACCGCGCAAATCCGGAAGTATCCGCTCGCGCAATCGCTCGCTCGCTCGCCTGACAGCTCAACCGCCCGCATTTACAGTTCATTACCTACTGTTTCATGTACAAGTGTATCATTTTTGTTTTTATGATGTTAAAATAAGAATAAATACAATCAGAAATTTATAGAACGACCGTTGAAAAAAATACGGTGGATCACACGGCCATATAAAATTGGTAATAAAATTGGTAATACATACGCGTAGTAATAATGTCCACCATAAACAAGATCGAACCAAACATGTGAAATCAAATACGACACTGACACAACTAATATGAAATAAAACCATTCTATTTTTGGTGGAGAGCGAAAAATGTCTACTGTAGTAGAGTACGGTATTCGTTGAGTAACCGTGTGTGGGGTGACGGTTGTCATGCACGCATGGTTTGGGTTTAACACGGGTCAAGTTGTAGTTATGTTAAAATCCGTGGCACCTATAACAATTGAAGAATATCTGCAGGAATAGTAAGACTGTGAAAAAAAAACGACCAATCGATTGTTATAGAATGGCAGCAGTGTAAAATTTGTCAAACAAATACAATACTTGCAAATGTAATGTCGGCCAGCGCCCATCTTACTTGTCCGAAGTTGTCGAAGCCGACATCAATGGAGATCGCGTTTTTTAACTAGGCGGCTGGCAAGCGGACTAACACGTTACATAAACTTGTTGAATTACAATTATGGTTTTTATTTTTGCGCCCAATGTCTCGTTATAAAATAAAGGATTCAAAGTTTGCAGGGTATTCCGTTTTTTGCGAACTCTGGGCGAAATACTTTCATGAGCTGTACGTAGTTCACTTACAGCCAAAACAAAGTCAGCTTGGACATTAAGTTGTGAGACGCGACAAA